AAATAACATACTCCATAAAAATAATCAAAATTTATCGAGCGAAATTTGAAATATAATTTTTTTCTTCTGAAAAATCGGTAGCTCAGTAAGGAGCAGGACTATCTTCTACCAACTATAGAAACCATCATAAGCATTGAATGGGCTTGCCATTTACGTATGACATGTGTATACGTCTAAATAACATACTCCATAAAAATAATGAAAATTTATCGAGCGAAATTTGAAATATAATTTTTTTATCTGAAAAAACCCGTAGCCCAGTAAGGAGCAGGCCTATCTTCTACCACCTATAGAAACCATCATAAGCATTGAATGGGCTTGCCATTTAATTATGTCACGTGTATACTTGTAAATAACATACTCCATAAAAATAATCAAAATTTATCGAGCCAAATTTGAAATATAATTTTTTTCTTTAGAAAAATCGGTAGCTCAGTAAGGAGCAGGACTATCTTCTACCACCTATAGAAACCATCATAAGCATTGAATGGGCTTGCCATTTAATTATAACATGTGTAGAAGTCTAAATAACATACTCCATAAAAATAATCAAAATTTATCGAGCGAAATTTGAAATATAATTTTTTTCTTCTGAAAAATCGGTAGCTCAGTAAGGAGCAGGACTATCTTCTACCACCTATAGAAACCATCATAAGCATTGAATGGGCTTGCCATTTACGTATGACATGTGTATACGTCTAAATAACATACTCCATAAAAATAATGAAAATTTATCGAGCGAAATTTGAAATATAATTTTTTTATCTGAAAAAAACCGTAGCCCAGTAAGGAGCAGGCCTATCTTCTACCACCTATAGAAACCATCATAAGCATTGAATGGGCTTGCCATTTAATTATGTCACGTGTATACTTGTAAATAACATACTCCATAAAAATAATCAAAATTTATCGAGCGAAATTTGAAATATAATTTTTTTCTTCTGAAAAATCGGTAGGTCAGTAAGGAGCAGGACTATCTTCTACCAACTATAGAAACCATCATAAGCATTGAATGGGCTTGCCATTTACGTATGACATGTGTATACGTCTAAATAACATACTCCATAAAAATAATCAAAATTTATCGAGCGAAATTTGAAATATAATTTTTTTCTTCTGAAAAATCGGTAGCTCAGTAAGGAGCAGGACTATCTTCTACCAACTATAGAAACCATCATAAGCATTGAATGGGCTTGCCATTTACGTATGACATGTGTATACGTCTAAATAACATACTCCATAAAAATAATGAAAATTTATCGAGCGAAATTTGAAATATAATTTTTTTATCTGAAAAAACCCGTAGCCCAGTAAGGAGCAGGCCTATCTTCTACCACCTATAGAAACCATCATAAGCATTGAATGGGCTTGCCATTTAATTATGTCACGTGTATACTTGTAAATAACATACTCCATAAAAATAATCAAAATTTATCGAGCCAAATTTGAAATATAATTTTTTTCTTTAGAAAAATCGGTAGCTCAGTAAGGAGCAGGACTATCTTCTACCACCTATAGAAACCATCATAAGCATTGAATGGGCTTGCCATTTAATTATAACATGTGTAGAAGTCTAAATAACATACTCCATAAAGATAATCAAAATTTATCGAGCGAAATTTGAAATATAATTTTTTTCTTCTGAAAAATCGGTAGCTCAGTAAGGAGCAGGACTATATTCTACCAACTATAGAAACCATCATAAGCATTGAATGGGCTTGCCATTTACGTATGACATGTGTATACGTCTAAATAACATACTCCATAAAAAAAATGAAAATTTATCGAGCGAAATTTGAAATATAATTTTTTTATCTGAAAAAAAACCGTAGCCCAGTAAGGAGCAGGCCTATCTTCTACCACCTATAGAAACCATCATAAGCATTGAATGGGCTTGCCATTTAATTATGTCACGTGTATACTTGTAAATAACATACTCCATAAAAATAATCAAAATTTATCTAGCCAAATTTGAAATATAATTTTTTTCTTCAGAAAAATCGGTAGCTCAGTAAGGAGCAGGACTATCTTCTACCACCTATAGAAACCATCATAAGCATTGAATGGGCTTGCCATTTAATTATAACATGTGTAGAAGTCTAAATAACATACTCCATAAAAATAATCAAAATTTATCGAGCGAAATTTGAAATATAATTTTTTTCTTCTGAAAAATCGGTAGCTCAGTAAGGAGCAGGACTATCTTCTACCACCTATAGAAACCATCATAAGCATTGAATGGGCTTGCCATTTACGTAGGACATGTGTATACGTCTAAATAACATACTCCATAAAAATAATGAAAATTTATCGAGCGAAATTTGAAATATAATTTTTTTCTTCTGAAAAATCGGTAGCTCAGTAAGGAGCAGGACTATCTTCTACCACCTATAGAAACCATCATAAGCATTGAATGGGCTTGCCATTTACGTATGACATGTGTATACGTCTAAATAACATACTCCATAAAAATAATGAAAATTTATCGAGCCAAATTTGAAATATAATTTTTTTATCTGAAAAAAACCGTAGCCCAGTAAGGAGCAGGCCTATCTTCTACCACCTATAGAAACCATCATAAGCATTGAATGGGCTTGCCATTTAATTATGTCACGTGTATACTTGTAAATAACATACTCCATAAAAATAATCAAAATTTACCGAGCCAAATTTGAAATATAATTTTTTTTATGAAAATTTGGTAGCACAATAAGGTGCAGGCTTATCTTCTACCCCCTATAGAAACCATCATAAGCATTGAATGGGCTTGCCATTTAATTATAACATGTATAGAAGTCTAAATAACATACTCCATAAAAATAATAAAAATTTATCGAGCGAAATTTGAAATATAATTTTTTTATCTGAAAAAAACGTAGCCCAGTAAGGAGCAGGCCTATCTTATACCACCTACAGTAACCATTATAAGCATCGAATGGGCTTGCCATTTTATTATGGCATGTATATACGTGTAAATAACATACTCCATGAAAATAATAAACATGAATCAAACCAGATTTGAAATAATACACTTTACTCATTCTGTTGATTGTACCAGTTGAAGCTGTTTTTATTTACTGTAACACTGTTACAATCTCGTACGTCGGGAGTATATTTCGTGATTCAATATTATGGTATAACAGTAACAGTGTTATATCATTATTTTTTTTTCGTATGTGCCTCGGTTACATTTATTAATCAAATTAATTAAATTTAATATTAAAATAGGCTGAAAGGAATGTTTACATATCTTTGTTGCGAGTAATGCACTTTGAGGTTAGTGGTTCATAGAGTGATACAATGGAATAACAACAAGTGATATTAATGGTTATTGTACTTTATTTAGGCAACTCAGTTATATAAAAATGGTACATTAGTAAAACAAACACTTAAACACTGCTCAAAATATATGATTTCCACATTTTTCAGTGAAACATGCATTTGAGGTTAGGAAGTTCTGAAGCCACGGCCTTCTTGATCTGCTGATCTGACGTTGACGTCATAGCTTAATGTTGGTTTATTGGCAGTTTTACATCCATATGTTTTGTTTGCTGAGTTAGGTTAGAATTAAGTTGGTGTTTTGTCTTCAGACTTCCTCTCTTCCTTTCATACGAATGGATGGGCCAAGTCAAGCTCAAACTAGATACTTAACATTTATTTTTAGAGTTATATTACACTTAAAAAAATTTAAATTTACGTTTGGTTTAATTTACTAGTAAAAATAAAATGATAAGGCCAATCTTTAAGAGTTTGACTTTTTTATTAATAAACAAAACTTTTAAAAAAGCTGTGTTTCCTATTCACTCTTCTTGAAATGTGTAGTAAGCCTAGATTCAGAAAAATATCAGATGTTCCAACAACTCCCCCCCCCGCGAAAAGTCAAAATCCATCATCAATTAATTAAAAATTACAGTGTTCAGTGTTCCTTCCTATTATTAATTATTTTGAGATAATTGACCTCCGACCTCCATGTTACAAACTGGGGCCCATTTCATAATAAAGTACAAACTAATATTATTAGTAAATCAGCTGATTGCCCAATGCAAATCTAATGGAAATAACAAGTTACAAGTTGTAGTAACTTGTAGTTTATTATGAAATGGGCCCCTGTAGGCTGGGGACTAATTCTTTACTCTAAAAAATTTAAAAAGTTAAATCTAAAAATTTTTAAAACTAGTATATTTGGAAATTTTTAAAGAGAAAATCAAATTTTTAACATTAAGAATATTTAGATAATATTCTAAATTTGATGTTATTTGACTTTGATATTTTGAAGATACAATAAATATTCAAAGTTTGACATTGTTTGACTTTGACATTTTGAACATTAAATGAATATCAAATAAATATCAAATTTTTGATTTGACATAGTTTGATATATTGAACGTTTATTTGATATCAAATAAATATTCTGTGCTATGTGGGTAGATTAAATGTTTTAGTTTAAACACAACAGTGATCATAAATGTGTTCCTGAGACTTTGCTGCAAAACATTAGTTTCCCTAAAATGGCTATATTACGATAACCTCGTCCAACTAAATCAAGGTTAAATTCAATATTATATTGTAAACTATATGTTTTTTGATTTTATGAGATTTTGGTTTCAAATAATGCTATCAGAACATAAAAATTCATAGGAAACCCAGGAAAATTACAACAAAAACTAAGTTTTCTTTAATATTTAATACAAATACTGGGATTTATCTTTCTTATATATTTTCTTATTTTGTTTTTATTCAAAATTAGCCTAATTAATAAAATAGTGACAACATGACAGTTAAAATTCAACAACAGGTAATGGAATTAAAAGGCAAACAAAAAAGTCTTACAAAATATGAATTATTGGCCTAGCACTGAGAGGGTTAAGTTATTATTGAATCTTGATTTTTTTTATTAACTTTTTTAACTTCACTCATGTTCACAACAAAGAAAGAATTTTTATTTTTATCTATCACACAAGTTTTATGGACAGAGTCTTCCTCAGTTGTGGCTTACTTACAATAAGTATAACATTAGGCACAATAAGGGTGTCATTAATGCTTCCGGTTGAGTTGTTAGGTTCAAAAACATGAGTTCTACGATCTCCATATGAGACCGTCCCATTGTCGTAAAACTTCACATCAATTTTCTCCAATGTTTCTCTGTAACATTCACATAATTGAAAATGTGTTAACAAATTTAAATTTTGCTATAATTAAAATGAACTCTACTAAATTTATTTTAATGCTCGATACAATTAAAAAAATACCCCCTTATCAAGACACTGAAGGTCACTAATCTCTGTTCTAGGGATTGTTCCGTGACAGAGGTATATGGGCAGATGGGTGACTGTGACGTCAGAATCCTACTTGCTTCTGTATACTGTCGGGGAGCCCCCACTGACCAGAGAAATTTTGATTTGTCTGATTATGGATTTTTACCCAAATGCTTCCTTAAACTTTTCAGATTTATTCCCTATTAAAAAAAAACAAAAAAAACACAAGATTTAATGAGTATATACCCAGGTATTACTGCTACAGGGTAGGAATTGGGTTTTGTTGTTGTTAAAAGATCATATACAGTAGAACTCAAACAATCCCAATCGCTTTTAGAAAGCATTTTAAAATCTTAAAGCCACAGTATTAAGAATTACCAAAACGTGGTGGGGGAAAAGATAAAGATATTTCCTAAAGTGACACAACTTCAATATGCTTCACACAGATTACTATCGGTAAGGTAACAATTGACTTCAGTTTTACATACTGTAAAAGCTTTGTTGCAGGTTGCAGTATAATACAGACATCGATGTTCATTTGAATTTAAGGAGATCGTTTAGCATTCATTAGAAGTAATCACTCAAAAAAGAGAACAGAAATGTACGGAACTTCATGACGCAATTAGAGATTTTGAATTTCATGACGCAAATAAAACTCAATTTCTATCAAGTTTTCAGACAACTCTAATAATCATACTGCAATTAAACTTGAGTTCAAGCATTGTAAGTTTTCCTCAACGTTGTGTTTTTTTACTATTCGGCTCATTGATTTTTTTACTATTCAGGTTTCCTAGTTAATATATAATGTCTCAATGTCTCTAAAAAGTGTAATCAATTAGTTGACTGCATCATAAGAGTTTATTTGTTACTATAAATCTAAGGACATGGCATCAATTCATTGGACCTTTTTCATCCAATCTGTGGTCAGTAATTGTAACGACTGTCTTTATAGTCAAACTCACCTGTAGCAATAAGGTCCTGTTTCATCCAATCTATACTGTGGTCAGTAATTGTAATGGCTGTCTTTAGTCAAACTCACCTGTAGCAATAAGGCCCTGTTTCATCCAATCTATACTGTGGTCAGTAATTGTAATGACTGTCTTTATAGTCAAACTCACCTGTAGCAATAAGGCCCTGTTTCATCCAATCTATACTGTGGTCAGTAATTGTAATGGCTGTCTTTATAGTCAAACTCACCTGTAGCAATAAGGTCCTGTTTCATCCAATCTATACTGTGGTCAGTAATTGTAATGACTGTCTTTATAGTCAAACTCACCTGTAGCAGTAAGGTCCTGTTTCATCCAATCTATACTGTGGTCAGTAATTGTAATGACTGTCTTTATAGTCAAACTCACCTGTAGCAATAAGGTCCTGTTTCCTTTACTTTTAGCTTCTTGCTCTTCCCTGCAGTATAATCATCAAAGTTGGTGTAGTTGAATACATGCACACAGATCAGAGGCTTTACTGGAGGTTTTTGCCAGGCAGCAAAAATCTCTGTACCTTCTTTTAGAGTCATTTGCTATAACAGTTTATCTGTGTATAAGTGAAATAATTTAAAATGTGTTCTTAACATAATAAACCAAACTATTCTTCCTCGTGTAATATCATTGCAACTTTGAACTTAAGCCTTAATTCACACCAGGCCACACTAAAAAAACAGGCCGTAATGCTCGTCTAGCATGACGTCACGGGTCACGATAGAAGACGGCAATAACGTAGGTATTTATTTATTTATTTTCCAAGGAAAGATTAAAACAAGCAGCTGATCACAAACGGCAAACATTACGTCATTGCCGTCTTCTATCGTGACGTCATGCTTGACATTACAGCCTGTGTGTTTAAAAAAAAGCATACAGCAATCTGATAAACGCCAATTTAAAATACCCCCGCCGCAGAAAACCTGCCGTCTAAGCGAATTTCCATTTGCCTGAATTGATTTTCAATTAATATATTTATAACGTTAGGTTTAACGAGTACCTAGGTTTGCTGCTACAAGGAAACTAAAAAAGTGTATTTTTAAGTAAAATAATTATAGCTTGGTATAAAATCAATACATTTGCCAAGTTTGATCAAAATATATCCATAAACTAGCAAACTACAACATTTTACAATATTCTCCATAAGAATAACATGGGAATTTTAAATTAAAAATTTTTGAATTTTCTCCCTAACCAATAACTGTACAAAAACACTTTGATATACCGTACTTAATTATTTGTTTTTAAGCTCTTTGAAATGTTCTATAGAGAAATTGGAATTTTTTTTGTTTTGAGGGTCAAAAATGCATCTTGTTCTCTAGTATATTTCGTACCTAGGACCAAAAATGAGGTTTTGCCGGCTCAAGATCAGTTTTAAGTTTGAGACGAAATCTGCTGCTAAACCCTTTTGGCCTGTGTGGTATGAAAGCTATTTTTCCTACAGTCATCACCCGACAAAGTTGGCTTCCTTGTACTGTTTATAGTACAGAAAGCTGCTAATTGTTGCATATTTATACTTTGCCGTACGGTTATTTATACTTTGTCGTACGGTTTATACTTTGCCGCACATCAGGATTCCAACAAAACAACACAAAACAGTGTGGTTCTATTATGCACGTAATCCTTGTACGTTTGGAAATAGGTTGGCTACACTTAAAGATAATAATACTATGAGCAGCTGATTTACTATTATAACTACGATTTTACCTGTCATTTCATGTTTATAGTTTCGGTATTTCTGAACTTTCTGGACTTTTCTTTTAAACGTTTTTAAAACATTCTTACGATCTTAATAAACAAGAAAATACCTTTAAAGCATTTTTTTAGGAGCGGAAACCACTTCAAATTACAAAAACATAGGGAACTATATTCTCAAAACGCGGAGCACATTTCTTGCCGAGGAAAAATAGCGGAGTGATACGGACCGTGGGTACTACTTTCTCTAGGGCACCATTTGTGTTGCCAGCTGAACCTAAAAACGTGTTGTATAGTGTTTGAAAGACTAATTATTTATATGCTTTATAGTGACTGTAGGAAAAATATAATGTGTAATACGAGTGAAAAAGGCCTTTGCTGCACTCGAGATCATTCGTAAACATTGCTCTCGTGTGCAGCAAAGTGCCACTTTCACCACTAATTACACAAATAACTATTTCACCACACTAGACGAAATTGAGAAAATATTTACAATAAATGCACAATATAGTGTTAGCAAAACGGGAGTGCCGTTGGAGACCTTTGGGGGTGCGTGCGTTTGAAGGGACTTGACCTGGTCTCCATAGGCACTCCCGTTTTGCTAACACTGTAACAGTAAATTGACTATTAGTGTGAGTTTATTGTACCTATATATATTTTGTTAAGACAACTACAACTTTAAAGTTATGTGAAAAAATATTTAGAGGAATCAGCAAAAATAATAATAAATAATAGTTGTTAGGCAGTAATGATAATAAAACTAGTCTATTACAATACACATATTGATAAATTTACAATACATATTATACTGCTTACATGCCCGTTTTTGACAATGTCAGCACCCTAGGCACAACTAATCATAGCGTCCCTTTGCATTATATATAAAAGGGTGACCACCGACCCGGTAATCCGGGAATTATATGCATGGATTTTTTGAACCGGGAATTATGCATGAATGTAGCCATTTCTATTTCTGAGAGGGATGATCAGAACTTTGCCGTGATCGCAGAAGATGATGATAATTTCTAGAAGACCACGGCAAACAGTCAGAATTTTGCCGCGGCCGCGGAAGACGTCTTCATGACCGAAGGAGACGATTACCATCTCTTCATTACCGAAGGAGATACAATAATGATATCGGCCGCAAGGGACTATCAGAATTTATTGCGATCACGCAAGACAATGATGTTGTCCACTCGACCGAGGGACAAGATAAGAAATTTGCCTCATTTTTTGGTAGACGACAATGATCTCGTCACGGCCGTGGGATATGTTCGTATATTTTGCTGTGATCAAGGAAGATGATAGAATTGAAAATTCAGCTGATAGACAATAAAAAACAATACTTCAATGACAAAATAAAAAAATCCACAAATAAATCCAAATTAATTTGGAAAATTATTAATTCTGAAGTAAATACTAAGACAAAGCCTGGTAAAAATTTGAAAATTTTGTTCAACGATAAAATCGAATCAAACCCAACTTACGTAGGTAATATTCTGAACAACTTTTTTATTAATGTGGTTGATGACCTTGTTCTTCCAAACATTAATAAAAATACTACAAGTATTGAATCTAACCTTAGAAAACCACCCCAACCAACCTGCAGCTTCAAATTTAGAGAAGTTGATGAAAGGCTAATAGAAAAGATAGTTAAGTCATTAGATAATAAATTCTCAATAGGGATGGATGACATACCAGTTACCATTGTTAAACATGCTTTTCCTCTTATATCAAAACCCCTAACTCATATCATAAATTCCTCTTTAATTTGTGGTATCTTTCCTCATAAATTAAAAGTTGCCAAAATAGTACCGGTCTATAAAAAGGGGGACGAATATGATCCCACAAGTTATAGACCAATCTCGTTATTGCCTGTGTTTTCAAAAATTTATGAAAAAGTAGTATATAACCAGCTTTTAACCTTCCTCGAATCAAACAAATTGTTGGATCCCGAGCAACATGGCTTCCGACAGGGAAAATCTACGATAACTGCTGGTATCGATTTTATTGAATCAATAATTGACTCCATTGACAGAAATGAGAAGGTAATTGGAATTTTTCTCGACTTTTCAAAAGCATTTGACTCTGTTTCACATAAGAAATTGATAGAAATTCTTCACGGCTTAAATATAAATAATAAAGAGCTTAAGTGGTTCAGTTCATACTTGCAAGGAAGGCAACAATGTGTCCAAATACAGCATAATTTCTGCCATCCAAATAATAAATACTCTTATACTCAAAATGTTTACTCTGAATACAAAAATATTAAATATGGTGTCCCCCAGGGATCTATTTTGGGCCCTCTTTTATTTCTTTGTTATATGAGGGGGTTCCCACTAGCTGTCGATGGAGGAAGTTCAGTGTGTCTTTATGCTGATGACACCAACATCACAGTTACAGGCAATTCCCAAGAGGAAGTCGAACTGAAATCTTTTCTAAATCTTTTATTAATTAATGATTTCTCAAGTAGCAAAAATCTCCTAATAAATTACAGTAAATCAAATTTTGTATCATTCTCCACAAAACAATCAAGATGTAAATTGAACCCGAATATTTACCTTGATAATTCAAACTTGAGTCAAGTGGAGTACACGAAATTTCTCGGATTGATATTGGATCAAAACCTAAATTGGGATAAGCATGTTGAGCATGTAATTGATAAAATGTCAAAAGGTAGATACACCCTGCGACAAATGTCAAGGGTGTGTGATATTGATACTTTAAAAACCATATACTTTGCATTAATAAATTCTCACATATCCTATGGTATAGCAATTTATGGAGGAACTACCCAGAAAAATTTGGATAAAATTCTTCATCATCAAAAAAAAGCACTCCGAATTATTTTCAAAATTAAAAATAAACGCCAATCAATGAAACCATTTTTTTCTAAATTAGGTGTTATGACAGTCTATGACTTGTATATTTATGAAACTATATTACATGTAAAAAAATTAAACCTCCAAACTAATAGTACAAATATTCGACACTATAAATTAAGGCATACTAGGCAGGTTGAACGACATAAATTAAAGTTTTTTGAGAAGAAATGTAGTTTCATTGGCATAAAATTCTTATTTAATTTACCTAAAGTTATAATAGAGGAAAAACGTTTTGACGTTTTTAAAAAAAGATTGAAAAATTATCTCCTTTCATTGTCTTTGTATTCTTTGGATGAATTTTGGAATTCAAGAGAAATCATAAATGATAGTTTAGAAAGATGATTTGATTTAATTTTGTTTTGTTTATTATTCTTAAGCTTAAAATTTGTTTTGAAAAGATAATGATTGTTTTAGCGATAAGTAAAGCATAATTCATCTTAATATTTATTTGACGCTATTCATTGTATAAAAACTTGTAGGCTACTGTGAATGAATAAAGAGAATTTGAATTGAATTGAATTGAATGATAATTATGAATACACGACCGTGGGAAACATTTAAAATTTTGTGGCGATCGCGGGAGACGATAATGATGTCTATACGGCCACGAGAGACGAAAATGATGTCAACACGGCCGCAAGGGAGTATCAGAGGTTTACCTTGATCGCATGCAAATACAATCACCAAATTATTTTTTTACTTTCCAATTTTTGGCGACCCCCAAAAGACCCAATTGCCTCGCACCCTAGGCAAGTGCCTACCATGCCTGTTCGGTAAATCGGCCCTGGCTGCTTATTTATTGTTTATTAATTTTTTAAGTAAATAAGCGAACAGCTGATTTTCGGCTCTAGGGCCGTAAAAACCTGCTCGTCCCCCCAAATGACATCGACAGCTTGGAATTTTGGTCCTGGACAATAATACGTTGCTTTCAGCCTCCAATTAATGTTTTTAAAATGACTAAAAACATTGTATAGCGTGATGAAAAATATTTGTTATAACTCTGGTATAAACATGGCTTAAATTATTATCATTACAACTTTACTCGCATTACCGATCAATAGCTCTTGGTTAATTGTCTAAATTATTGAAGAAAAAGTTTGCCTTTAACATTCTGGCTCTCTGGGTTGGATACTGTAGGTCATATTTAAGTCATGTTATGGTATTTTAAATATATTTACTATTTCTCTGTTGAAAACACTAACTATTTCTAATCATTCTATAATGTTTAATGTATGCTAAAATCAAGATGATTTACCCAAAAGTACTTACGTTCAGAATCGAGTCTAAATAGAGGTCTGTAAACCACATGATGATACATCCAATTGTACTGAGAATGAACACAATTGATATTGCAGTGAAACCTGCAACTCATACATCTTTATGAGTATATATCCTGGAAAATCAAACTGTTAGCATGACAGCTTAGAGACACTTGTGCTCAACATTTCAGTTTTTTTGCTAGAATGAAAAAAAGTTAAGGAAATTTCACATCCCCAAATACAATATGTATGTGTATGTAGTGATGCTTGCAAATTTGCCTTTTTTTGGGACTTTGATAATTGAAAGTACAGAATAACTGAGCGTCTTCTGAAAACAGTTTAGCCAGGCGCTAAACGGGTTGAGTCTGCACTGAAAGTCCGACAAAATTTGACTTTTGATTATTGTTGAGGACATCTAGTAGATGAAAAAAATCGATGATGGCGCATTTCTAGGGTGGTCACAACTCGGGGGGGAGGGGGGGAAGTTGCGCGGGTCATCGGTTTACGTATCCGCGTCTAACTCACAAACGGTTAATGATAGAAAGGTGGTTTACGCGTCTATCAACGCCTAAATATATTGTCCTTCAAAAAGGTTATAACAACCTTTCTTCTATCTTTATGCTTTAGGCCTCAATCAACTTTTATTGCAAAAATTAAAATTTAAAACTACTTTAAAATGAAATATCGGAAATATTACGCTTGTTTAGGGCATGTTACAAACTATTTATGGTTAGAAAAACTAACAAATAGTACAAAAACACCAAGTTTAAGGAAATATGTGCAAAAACAGAGCTACGTTTCATTACGTAAGAGTAAACGTGGAAAATTTGTAGTAGTACCGAGGCGCGCATGGACGGTACGTAGCCCACAGTCAATATAGGTTTGATGTTGTAAGTAACTATGGGAAAGCTGAATTTTTCTATGCTGTTAGACCATGTTGAGATGAGCATTTTTCCAAAAGTCCCCACTCCTACCCCTTTGTGCTTTCCTCTACCCCCCCCCCCTTTTAGATAAATTTACAGTCTCTTAGAAATTAAGCTATAACTTTAAAACGGGTAAGGATAATAACGCAATCTTTTATTAATCATTTTGCGTTACGATATTCTACAAAAAGTGTATTTACCATGGTATCCTAAATATTCATAGTTAAAAAATATCATAAACATAAAAAAATAATTTTTACAGATTAATTTATGAAACTTTTCTTTGTAGATTTTTTATATGAGGTCGCACAACAAAATGTTTGATACAAAATTTGGGGTCCATAGTTTACATTTTTAAATGATACATAGTTATTAACAGTTTGTTTGCATATAGTGGTTATAGATCGTCCAGTATATTGATTTTACAGGCTTTTTTGTGCACCGCAACAATGAAAAAAATTACGTATATTATGGTTTTTGTATTTGAATTTGCCGCTTTATATAGATTATATTAACTTTATGTAGCTCATTCAGTACATACAGACTGTAGTGGATACATATGAATGAATATCGTGCATTTGCTGCTGTACGCCAGAGCCTCATTTTATTATACAGGGTGTCTCAACTAAAGTGAACCAATAGATAACTTTTTTATTATGAGATATAGAGTTAACTTCTTATGGGACACTACCCTTTATTTTAAGATGTTTTTAGTGGTTTCGAATTTTAAAAATATGTTTGCCATTTTCCAATATGGCTGACAACTTTGTTAGTCCTATGGAATACCCTGTATTTTATGATTGTTTTAGAATGTAAACGCACAATTTTTAAACCTTTTTATTGTTGACATTTTTCTCTAAAGCTACTTGTTTAGGAGTTACATCAAAGAAGAAATGGTTTTGTGAGTACATCCTGCATCCTGTAGCTCATAAACGAGTAAGTACAAAAATAAACAAGTTTTCAAATCACATCTACATAAAAAAAACCATAAAATAAATTGTTCCAATATCAAAGTAAGCTACCATTTTTGAAAATGGTGGCCACTTTTAAAACAACAAAATCAGTATTTTTTAATGTATTTTATATTTTTTTTTTTTTTAACGAGGACTTATATGTGACTTATTTATTCTTTGCACTTTCTCTCTCAACTTACTCGTTTATGAGCTACAGGATAACGAATGTACACCACAAGCCTTTCTTTTATATATAACACGCTGTAACTCCTAAATGGGGTAGGTTTAGAGAAAAAATGTCACAAATAAAAAAATAGCTTTTAAATTCTAAAAGAATACTAAAATACAGTGTATTCCATAAGAAATAACAAAGTTGTTGGCCATATTGGAAAATGGTGGATATATTTTTTTATTCGTAACCATTCCTAAAAAATTTTTTACAAATAAAGGGGGTCGTCTAATAAAAAGTTAACTCTATATGGAAAATAAAATTTATGTATGTTCACTATGTAATCTCAACCGGGATGAAACGTGTACCCTTTTATAGCAGAATGTCCAATTTAAAAAAAGATACGTTAATTTTGGTCTAACAAGTTATATTTAAATGAATATGAGTTTTTTTGAATTTTTAAATGGCAAAGATTGGCGGGCACTTGGAAATTATCTTAAAGAGGCGTGGAGTAAAGGGTGGGTGGGAATTGATAATGGAGTATAATTAATTATTAAATTTAAGAATTGATATAACAATACAAAAATGGGAAAAATCTATGTAATTTAAAAAAAATTAAAAATATTGTTTGTTAAGTATCTATCAAAGTAAATTATAAAAGTAACAGGTTTGTTTAATGAATTATTAACTGTTTGTAGGAAAAATTCAGATTCTCAGTAGGCTACATTTTTTTATTATTCATTCAATTGTTATCTGATCTTTATTAGTATGTAGTGCTATTTTAGTTGAAATCAGTTTATTTTATGAATAATTGTATGTGATTCATGGATTTTTTTAAACTGTTTTAAAATATTTTAATATCAGTGTGTCTAACACAAAACAGACGGTCTTTGACCATTGTTCTTTGCATTTAAATAAAAAACACTGTATTGATATTTTATTACAATGAACACATTTTCTTCTCCTTCTTCTTCAGAAATCTATAATAATTCTTTTTAAATATATATTTATCTAAAAATTCTTTTTGTAGATTATCGTAACGCAAAATGATTAATAAAAGATTGCGTTATTATCCTTACCCGTTTTAAAGTTATAGCTTAATTGCTAAGAGGCTGTAAATTTATCTAAAAAGGGGGGTTAGAGGAAAGCACAAGGGGGGAGGAGTGTTGACTTTCGGGAAAATGATCATCTCAACATGGTCTAACAGCATAGAAAAATTCAGCTTTCCCATCTATTATATTATTAAATGTGATACAATCAAATTTTGTGTAAACGGTTAAGGTCATTTACCAAATAAAAATGTAGGCATATGGCACATCAAAATGAAGCTTAGAGTGTGTAGATTTGCCGAAAAGTATTGATATAGACGAATTTCCTAAGGGCTCTGCCCCACAGGCTGATTTCCAAAGGGCTACGCCTGCCTGGTATGCTTCCAATGTTTAAATGATTTAATTTAATTTATTTAATGAAACAGCTGGTCAGTACAATGAACTGGTGTTTGTTTATTTACTGGAATAAGATGATGTTGTAGATTAAGGAGGGTTATGTTTGGTTTTAAAGTGATGTTGTATACGTTTTGTAAAGTATTGCTCAAAGTTTCATTTTTTAATTCATATAGTAAGTAGATACATGTGAAGAGGTTTGACTAAAATTGAAGAATTATGGTATAACATGTCATTCATGAAGCATCAATATGAAGTAATTGATTCTATTGCTACACTAAGGTATGTTGTCATATTCTTATGGATCTATTAACATCAAAAGTAGGGATTTGAAAGTAAGTGGGTTTATAAATTTAAATCAGTTTATATTTTCAAACTAAACCATAGAGTTGCTGTATTTTAAAACACACATCAGCACTTTAATAGCTCTCTTGCTCTCTAGGTCACATTTTCTTCCCGTTGCAAAGCACGGGTATAGCAGCTTGTAGTTACTAAAACCATCAAACCTATATTGACTGTGGGCTACGTACCATCCATGCGCGCCTCGATACTACTACGAATTTTCCACATTTACTCAAATCAAATCAAATCAAATCAAATTATCTTTATTTTGCACAGAAAATAACTGTATAATAGCGTCACAAGAATACATAATAAAACTAAATTATAAATGCTGTTAGAACTAAAACGTATATAGTTGTTACTCTTACTGTTGTTATTTCAGTTACTCTTACTGAAATCAACGTAGCTCTGTTGTTTTTGCACAGATTTCTTTAAACTTGGTGCTGTTGTACTACTTGTTAGTTTTTATAACCATAAATAGTTTGTAACATGCCCTAAACAAGCGCAATATTTCCAATATTTCATTTTAAAGTATTTTTAAATTTTATTTTTTGCAATAAATGTTGATTAGCGCCTAAAGTATAAGAGATAGAAGAAAGGTTGTAATAACCTTTTTGAAGGACAATATATTTAGGCTTTGATAGACACGTAAACCACCTTTCTATCATTAACCGTTTGTGAGTTAGACGCGGATACGTAAACCGATGACCCGCGCAACTTCCCCCCCTCCCCCCCGAGTTGTGACCACCCTAGAAATTCGACATCATCGATTTTTTTTATCTACTAGATGTCCCCAACAATAATCAAACGTCAAATTTTGTCGGACTTTCAGTGCAGACTCAACCCGTTTGGCGCCCGGCCTAGTTATTTTGCGAGAATGGTAAAAATACCACTAAGTATAGAGAGAGTCAATTGTAAATAATTGTCTGGCAACCAATTATTTTGTGCTTTTGCATTTCTAAATCTTGATCTAAAAAAGAAAAAAAAGAACTTCTCTAATAAAAATATTGTCTCATAAATTAAAGGCTTAACAGATGTATACATTTTCAATCTAATACTTCAATGTACAAATTGTGTAAAAAAAGATCAGACCCATAATGGCAAACCTAAGTTAATTTATTAAGTACCTAGGAAATCTTTTGAAATAAAATGAATAGTGTGACGTAAAACTGAAGATAGACTTTGGTCAATAGGTCAAGTTAACACTGTTGTTGATGTATTCGTGTTTGGTGTGTAGCAGCGTAGCAGGCATGTTATGACAATCTTAGTTTAC